CTCGGCTTGTAGTGCGAGGGCGCAGAGCTCCTGGTAGGACCTCTGCTCTTGTGTCCGCAGCCACTTTTAAGCTTTCTGCTCAGCAGTTTTGTTTTGCGCTTTATTCCTCCCACCCTCTCTCAGGACCGGCTGCGCTGAGGGAAGGGAGGGTCTGTCTTGCGTGCCTAGTAGGCTTCAGAGCTGACTGCGTTTTTCTTGGGCCTGAGCATGCTCGTGCTGTTCGTAGCAGCTTTGCTTGTAGCTGTTGTGGCTCTTTCTGCTTAACTTCTGGCAAGTTGCCTTGGCACAGTCCCACGGACGTGCCTTCCAGGAGTCAGGTTAGTAAGCTGACTATGGACGTTGACGACAAGGTTGGTAACCTGTGCCTCAGTCTCCCGCGCAGGGCTCATGCCCTTCAGCCGTGGGAGTCGGCGTCCTGGATGGCTCGCTCAGCGGCCTGGCCGTGGGAGCTGTCAGTGACACAACCACCAGCAGTGGATCCAGTACCCGTGGTGCACAGTTCCACTTTGGTTCTGAAGAGGGAAGCCGAAAAGTCTTCGGCCCCGGCAGTGCCGGATTATGACGGCGGCTTCGCCTTGGCCGTTTGCTCGCGGAGTACGGTGTACGAGGGCGATCGACGGAGCTCGGCAGTCTTCAAGCTGACCGCTTTAGTAAAGGGTCGGCCGGATGCTTTTTACATCGTCGCACAGTGTGCCGATTCCCAAGGTCGCGTCGATCTTGACGAGCTCGACTTCAGCATCAAAGCCGCCCTCAGCTACAAGGCCACCAACACGTGGGTTCGGCGGCTGAACTCCTTGTCTGCTTTCGTCCAGTGGGCGAGCACACAGTCACCACTGGCGACTCCTTTCCCAGTGACGGAGAAAGTGAAATGGCGCTGTATCCAGTGGATGACGCGCAATGGCAAAGGAGCTTCGAGTCCGTCGAGCCTGCTTCAGAGTCTGAACTGGTACTCCGGGGTTTGCGGCCTCGCCTTCGAGTCGGAGGTGACCAGCTCTCGGTTCATCGGCCTTTGCAGGAGCACGGAGGCCAGCGCCCCGCCACCTAAACGTGCACCACCTCTCGGAGTTCGTGGTTCTCTCTCTCTTTCGTCCTTCTCTCTGTTTTCCTTGCCCTGTTCAGGACCATGTCCAGTCTCGTCGACAGCGTCGCGGAGTTCAAGAGCCGGGCCCAGCAATTGTTGGGCGAAGAGGACGCTCGGAAGCTCCTCACAAACGACATCAAGTCCTTCGGAGAGCTGGCCTACAGTGTAGCCGACCAGCCCGACCGCATCAGTGATGCGCGTTT